TCCGCACGACGCTCGGACCGCGAGGGATGGACAAGCTCATCCACGACGACAGGGGAAACGTCACCATTTCCAACGACGGCGCCACAATTATGAAGCTCCTCGATATCGTTCATCCGGCCGCGAAGATCCTCGTCGATATCGCTAAGTCTCAGGACTCCGAGGTGATTTGTTTGAATCCTTTGGTCGTTCGACCCGGGTTTCGAAGATTTTGCCGTATCTCTTCTTCTACGGTCGTGGGCAGTTTGATAGTTGATGAGATTATGCGAGTAGGGTCTATTGTGACCTTCTATTTATGGACTATGTGAGTAGTTTCGTGTTAGGTCATGCAAGCATGGTTTTTTAGACGTTTCGGGAGGAGCAGTTTTCTTTTTATGTAGAAAAAAAAAAGAGACATTTTGCGAGAAATAGGTTTTGTTAAGGCTTGTGACCAGTAGGCAATTCCTAAGATGTTTCCATTTAGGGGTTTTCCTCGCAGTGTGGATTGTAACCTTTGCCATTTCTGCTGTGAATTGTGGGGTTGTTAGGTTGGTGACGGGACAACTACAGTTGTTCTGCTTGCAGCAGAGTTTTTGAAGGAGGCCAAGCCATTTATTGAGGATGGTGTTCACTCTCAGAACTTGATCAGGAGTTATCGCACTGCCTCCACTTTGGTTTGTTCATTCTTTCTCCTGATAGAATGTTTAAAGTAAGTCATGGACTTCTAGTATCCTAATCACTGCTGCTTAATGAAATAGGCCATTGAGAAGATCAAAGAACTTGCCACTAGCATTGAGGGCAAAAGTGTAGAAGAAAAGAAAAGTCTGCTGGGTAAATGTGCTGCTACCACACTTTCCTCAAAGCTTATTGGTGGAGAGAAGGAATTCTTTGCACCGATGGTTGTTGATGCTGTAATGGCTATTGGGAATGATGATAGGCTAAATTTGATTGGCATAAAGAAGGTATGCACATCCGTCTTTATTTCTGTTGTTGCTCTGTCATTCTTTAGCATCAGAAATTTTTATTAGTTCACACATGATGTGTCTCAAGTTTTTATTCCAACTTCTACCCACCCATATTATTATTATGCCAGACCCTGTGTTTGTCTGTTGACCATGAAATTTGTGTTCTTGGATCGCTGAATTTACATAGGTTTATTTTTTTCCAAAATGCTACAAGGGATTGATTTTCATCTTGAACAAGTGACTTGATCTTCTAGAAGTTTCGAAGTGCAATAAACTACTGCATCTGGCCTGTCTGCTGCATGCTGCCTTCATTTGGTTTTTGGCTACATATCTTTGCTATGATTTAGTTAGATTTAGGGTGAGAGTATCCATATGGAATCACAATACTTGCTTTATTACAGTCAACTGAATCCTAAGACCAGTGTTTCCCAAGATAAAACTTAAATAAAATCTTTCAGTTGTGTTTTCAATTTTATTCCAGTCCTCGTATAGGCAGGATTTCATAATGAAGGATACAGCTACCTGCCTAAACTGACAGCATGGTATCATCTTCAGGTTCCTGGTGGTAATATGCGTGACTCTTTTCTAGTTAATGGTGTTGCTTTCAAGAAGACATTTTCCTATGCGGGTTTTGAACAACAGCCGAAGAAGTTTCTCAATCCCAAGATATTATTGCTTAACATCGAGTTGGAGCTGAAATCCGAAAAGGAAAATGCTGAAATTAGGTTGTCTCTTTTGTGTTTTGTCCAAGTATTTTCCTCTTTCGAATAATCATCTTTTGACCTGACAAAACTTCGCTCCCTCATTGGTTATAGGCTCTCAGATCCATCGCAGTATCAGTCAATAGTTGATGCAGAATGGAATATCATTTATGACAAGTTGGACAAATGTGTGCAGAGTGGAGCAAAAGTTGTGCTTTCTCGTTTGGCTATCGGTGATCTAGCTACTCAGGTGGTTTAGCTCCTATGACTTCTTTTGTTGCATCTGCTACATGGTTGTTTTGTCCTGCATATTTTGCCAAAATTTCAAGATCTAGCTAGTTTCTTGTCCAATTCTGTCTTATCAAATTCAAGAATCGTGATTAATTTGATGAGTTCTGGTTTTCAAATCCACATTTATGTAAACCTGTTATAAATTATTCTACTGTTAAGAATTGTAGTTGCAGACTTATTTTGTTTAACATATTGAGATTTAGCTTATCTTCCTGAAACTTGTGAGGTTAATCTTGTAAATTGATATGATTCAACAACAGTTTGCTTGTTCTGTTACTTTGGGTGCTTAAATGAATAGGAATCTTGAATATGATTTTGTTGGTTTGAGAATGTCTCTACATGGGTGTCTGAAAATGAGGGGCATATTCTGGCAGTATTTTGCAGATCGTGACATTTTCTGTGCTGGCCGTGTGGCGGAAGAAGATCTTAATCGTGTGGCTGGCGCCACTGGAGGAACAGTCCAGACGAGTGTTAACAACATAATTGATGAGGTTAGTGAAAAATGCTTTTCGTTCTTAAAAACATTTATCTGATTATTCTCTTTTAGTTGCTTACCGGTTTCTGACCTTGTCCCACTCACTGGAAAAAAAAATTTCTCATCTTCTGCAGGTTCTTGGAACTTGTGAGCAGTTTGAAGAAAAACAGGTCGGGGGAGAGAGATTTAACATATTCAGTGGTTGTCCTTCAGGACATACGGCAACTATAGTCCTTCGTGGTGGAGCTGATCAGGTATACATGTGTTGTTGGAGGCTTCATGTAGAATACTTTTCTCCGTTGCAGTTACTAATTTCTTTCAAATCAAACATTAATTGCAGTTCATTGAGGAAGCTGAGCGGAGTTTACATGATGCGATTATGATTGTGAGAAGAGCTTTGAAGAACTCCACTGTTGTTCCTGGGGGTGGTGCTATTGATGTAAGTGTCTGGCTGAAATGTCGGGATATTTATTTTGTGCCATAGGGATAGTGTTCTTTACAAGTTATGTGGTTACTCCTCGCCGCAGATGGAGATAAGCAAGTATTTGAGGCAACATTCACGGACAATTGCTGGCAAATCACAGCTATTCATCAACTCTTTTGCCAAAGCTCTTGAGGTATCTTTGCTTCTTCTCTTTGATATTCTACTGCATTGCCATTTGATTCCATAGTAAGATTTGTAGTGCTCCTTACGACCAGGCAATGCTGACATGTAAAAAATGAGTCTTTTCTCGTATGTTCTGTAATCTGTATTGTTGGATTTTTTGAAGACGAAAACTTCTTGGTTGCTAGCCATGTGTTATTGGGATTTGAGCAGCAAGCATCAACTATGAGACGACTATAACAAATTATATATGAATTTTGATCAATATTTGGTTTCTTTTGTTCACATTGATTAGAACAACATTTAACATGTGCGACCGAACTGGCATATTGTTTACCTTGCAATACAGGTTATTCCTAGGCAATTATGTGACAATGCTGGGTTTGATGCAACTGATGTCCTTAACAAGCTCAGACAAAAACATGCAATGCCAAGTGGTTAGCCTTCTCCTGCCTGTATTCTCCGTCTCAAGATTCACATTTTTTCCAGGTCCTATAGCAACACTGTTTATAGGGTCTTTGACTATATTACTACAATAATTCGGTTTTAACAGGTGAAGGGGCATCCTATGGAGTGGATATCAACACTGGTGGAATAGCCGATTCATTCGCTAATTTTGTCTGGGAGCCAGCTGTCGTTAAGGTATGCAAGACCATAGTAAATCAACTATTTCCTTTCTGGGCATGTTTGAGTTATATGTCGGGACTTATTCGTGTCATTGATCAAATATTTATCTGAAGTATACTAACTGATAATGTCTTCTTTTTGTGGTTGATTCTGAGCCTTGTGATGTCCATTGAAGAATGAATGGGTTATCATTTCACTTGTTGATGGGTTCTTTTTTTTTTTTTCTCATGAGTCATGAAACTTCTTTTTGGTGCAGATTAACGCAATAAACGCTGCTACTGAAGCAGCTTGCCTCATTTTAAGCGTGGATGAAACTGTGAAAAACCCTAAGGTAATAGATGTGGTTTTAGCCTGTCCTGTTCTTACAACGGTATGAAATTCCGTTTTTTGTTTTTAAATTGAAAACGCAGTCGGAGAGCGCACAAGGAGAAGCAGCTGCTAGTGCGATGGGCAGAGGTCGTGGTCGCGGCCGTGGAATGAGGAGGCGATAGATAAAAGCTGTCTTTCTTCTACCCTTTTTTTGCTGTATCAAATTTCAGTGACTAATGGGGGCTCTCTCTATGTTTAATTTTGTTGACATTGATCTTCAGCTCTGAAGGTCTGTTTAGAAGTGCTGCCTTAGTTATACTATACACATGTTCATATGCTTGAGGGAGGTGGAGAAAGCTTTTAGGTTTGTTTTTAGAACACCGTTGTCAAGCCCATACAGTTACAATTTAGTTGTGGTTGTGTTGGGAAATCTTCTTCTTCTCGACTTTCGTTTTCTTTTCTTTGGTTTTCTCGGGAAACAAACAGGTTAGGTTTTGCAAGAAAGCATGACATGCAGTCCGCCTCCTTCCTTTGTGGGGACTGGATGGATGCGTTTAGGGTGTCATGATCGCCATCATCAAAACAACATCTTCTAACCATATAAAAAAAACAGAATGATTGCAATGGCCAAGGATCATGAAGGTATCGATATCGGTTCCATGGCTCGATCCGGAGATATCGAGTCATTATACCGTTGCCTTGCCAATAAAGACAGCAGGAACATTCTAGACGAGTTTGATCGAACCGAGCTTCGTAAGACGCCTCTCCACGTGGCAGCGTGAGAAGGGCATACCCATTTCGCAATGGAGATGATGAACTTGAAACCCCAATACGCTCGGAAGCTAGACGAGTCAGGTCTCAGCCCGATGCATTTGGCTCTACAGAACAAACGTTTTCGGACAGTGAGAGGGTTTATGTCCGTAGATAGTAACTTGATAAGGATCAAAGGAAGAGGGGGGATGACGCCTTTGCATTACGCGGCTCAGACAGGAGGACCCAACCTGTTGAGCGAGTTCTTGTCCGCTTGCCCTTCTTCCGTCGAAGATTTGACGATCAAGTGCGAGACAGTTGTACTCGTCGCCCTGAAGAACCGTCAGTTTGATGCGTTTAGGGTTCTTGTCGGATGGCTTCAAAGGGATAACCAAGTGGAGATGTTGAATTGGAAGGATGAAGATGGCAACACTCCACTCCATGTTGCTACATCTATGGATCAAATCGAGGTATTTGTTACACCCTTTTTATTCTTTTTTTAAAAAAATTAAATTTATTCATCTTGTATTAATATATACTGATGCATGACATATATATATATATATATATATATCCCACGAACTCCTGTAAAACTGCAAAAAAAAAATTATGTTTTCTGGTTCATTAAAATGTCACTATATAAAACCATGAATTTGTTAAATATACCACATAAATATATAGAATATGAAACTTTTAAATAATAAACGCTCACCTTTCCAAACTCAAATTTCCCACGAACGATGACGACATCGTACGGAGTCAGGTGACATCATCCGCTGGAATTTAATATTTACTTAAAAGTTTAAAAAATTATTTAGTTTTTTTTTTTGAAAAAAAATTATTTAGTTATTCCGTATATTTCCGCACGTTCACAGTTTTATCAGAGTTTCTCCATACACACACACACACATATATCTATGGTGTACATATACGTGGTTCATCTCATGCAGGCCGTGAAGTTGCTGTGCAAGAAAGTCCACGTAAACGCGAAGAACTTCGAGGAGAAGACTGCTTTGGACATATTCCAAAGTAAACAATCTTCTCTGAATCCAGACATCGCCAAAATCCTCCGAGGTGCCAAAGCGAAAGAGGCGAAAGAACTGACCGGTCCGACCAGAACCCTTCCGGAGTATCTGATGCAAAATCTGTCGATTTTCGAGAGACGAAACAAACTGTTGGGACTGAGCAATTTCAACAGCAGCAGGAAAAGAACCAGAGACAAAAGCGATATCCAGAGCTCAGTTCTTGTCGTGGCCATACTGATAGCCACGGCCACGTATCAGGCCGGTCTCAGCCCACCCGGCGGATATTGGCAAGACGACTCTTCCTCGAGCTCGGATGATGCCACAGAACAGCATGTGGCTGGCCAGATGACGATGAACTTCGATCCCGCGATATTTTTCTACGGTTTCAACGGAGTCTCCTTCTTCTCGTCCATGGCCGTGATCATTTTCTTCATCATTGGACTCCCGACCTGGACAGTTCTCTGCGGTTCGATCGTGGCTCTCGGGATTTCTAACCTCGGATCATTTGCCTATACGTTTCCGAACTCGGAAGATCCAAGAGAAGATGTCGGATCGTTCATATTGGAGTTGGCCTATCCGGTATGTGCTACATGGATCGCAGCTGTACCTCTTATAGCATACTTATTGCATGACATTCGTCGACGTCGGGTGGACACTTTCAAGGGAGGTATCTCGGGTCGGATTTGGGACTGAAGCCGTCGAAGACCATTACCTGACTACCATCAATAAGGTCATCGACCCATTTCACTTATCTTCTTCTGCTTCTTGTGTAAAACTTGTGCTTTTTGCCATAGTCTGGTTTGAATAATATCAGCTCCTGTGTTTGAGTTGTTTCACCTCGTTGGGTATTGTACCTTTTCGAACATCATTATATGTTTCTGCGAATAATTCAGTCAATTGGACCCATGTCGGTCCATGACAACATCCGATGTCATCTACTCTTCCGTACAGTTCTCACTCACAGCCACTGCCTTCAGCTCGTCACCCATCTCACACAACATCGAGTATATGATCCTTTCCCTGTAAGACGAGTAAGTTCCCGGAGTAGCTGCAGATTTTGATTCTCTCGTTCTGACGGCTCCCGACATTGCAGGTATCTGCAAGTTTTTCTCGTTCATCATCCTTCTCACTCCTTCCACCTCCTCCCACTTTCCTTCCAATGCGTATATATGTGACAGTAACACATAATGCCCGACATCATTCGGGTTTACCCTGATCAAATGCTCAGCCAAGATTCTTCCAAGCTCGGTATCGGCATGAGTGAAGCAAGAAGAAAGGAGGGGTCGGGTTTTTCGTGTTAGATCCTCAGAATCTTTTGTCAGACCAGCTCGGCCAAGAAGATCGACCATACAGCCGTAGTGCTTCGTTCCAGGCTTGATTTTGTAGACTCGACACATACGATCAAAGAACCACCAACCTTCTAGAAACATTCCGGCATTAACACAGGCAGACAGAACACAAATGAAAGTTGTAACGTCAGGGACAACAACATCGTCACTATCTTCCATCTCTAGAAACATTTCCACGGCTTTCTCTCCATAACCGTGCATACCATACCCCATAATCATCGAACTCCATGACACAATGCTTCTCTTTTGCATTGTATCGAATATGTCTCGGGCCATATCCACTGCCCCGCATTTAGCATACATTGTCAGCAAAGATGTTGAGAGCAGCAGATCGGGTTTAATCCCGTTGCTTCTAATGTACGAATGTATCCACTTCCCTGTATCAAGCCGGCGTAAATTTGCACAAGCGGTCAATACGCTCACAATGGATGCCTCATTTGGCTTACACTCTCCTTCATCCAGCATTACCTCGAACAATCTCAGGCATTCTACGTAATCTTTGACCCGAACGTAGAGAGCCAATACAATATTCCAAGAACCCACACTTCTTTTCGGATTTCGATTGAAGAATTCCCGTGCAAGAACAACATTTCCTGCCTTTGCGTAACCATCGATCATAGAATTCCAAGAGAAAGTATCACGGAGATGCATCCTCTCGAACAGATACCTTGCAGCCTCCATATCCTGAATCCCTGCATAACCACTGACCATAGAATTCCAGCTGAAAACATCTCTCTCAGGCATTTCATCGAACAACTCACGAGCAACAGTCATGTCTCCGTTCTTCACGTACCCATCAATCATCGAATTCCAACTCACCAAATCCAAAACAGACCCTCCATCGAACACATTGCGTGCATCTCGAACCCGTCCACATACCGCGTACATATGAATCAATGAGTTCCTAACATACAAATCCGACTCGAACCCATATTTCAGAACCAGTGAATGAATCTTCTCTCCCTCTTTCACCGATCCAATCTCCGCACAGACCTTCGTTAACAAGGGAAATGTATAGTGGTTATGCCCAAGGCATCTGGCGACCATTTTGCCATAGTAAAACCCTAAAGCATCCAACGGGTCATTGGAGTTCACGAAACACCTCAGAATGGTGTTGCCCATAAACACATCGGCTTCATCGATGGAATCGATAACCGAAACAGCGCGAGAACACAAACCAAAGCCACTACAAAGTTTCTTAATCACTCGACCGGCAGCGAGAGAGTACTGAAGGAGGCCGGAGACAACGATTTGGACGTAAATCTGATCAAATTCAGCGACAGATCTCGAAGATTCGAGCTTCTGAAGGAGCGGGTGACGGAGGTCCAAAATGGGCAATCCTTGTTCGTCGGAAGGAATTGGTTCAGGTCGGGGATCATCCGGCCAAAGCTTCGGCGAAGGTTTCGAGAGATTTTTAGTGGATTTCAAGAACTTATCGAGAGAAATCCGGCTTCCTCTCGATCTGGGTAATCTGAGGTTTGATCTCATTTCGCTCCCCCTCGCTCCCCTTCGCGTTTTCTCTCCTCTCTGAGTCTCTCTCTGTTTCTCCGGTGGATTGGCAGGAAGGATTCTCTCAACCCCTTCCAAATTTATGGTGAAGACCTAATATTTTCCCCTCTTAATTCTGAAAACCATAAAAGATTGTCCAAAAAACTCCTCAACCAAATGTTAGCTTCTGATTTTGAAAAACATGTATCCGATGAACACGACTTGTACGTTATATGAAATTGCCAAATATTTTTATTATTGTTACATAGAAATATAAACATATATAGAGTTTACATCATGCATAAACAAGAACATTTTAGTACATGTTTCAGCCTCCAAAGGAACAGTTAAAGCCTTTTGCCAGCATAGATCCCAAGGGAAAACACTACCATTGAAGCGATAACGACCAGACCGGCCGACATCGCTCTCTTGTTGTTCCTCATCTCTCTCAGATATCCGCTGACAACGTTCTTGTATCCTCCTACCTTGCGACAAGGAGGACCCTTAACCTCGTCTTTCTCCTTAATCTTCCCGGTATCACTTGAAGCTTCTTCCTTCTCGGATCGTTTTTCTGTCGCGGGTTTCGGTGGATGAACCTTCTCTGCTCCCGTAGAAGTTTCTTCTTTCCGACCCGGTTCCTCCATTGGAGATTCTTTCACATTCTGACTCTCTATAGCAGGTTCCGGCCGCTCTTGAACCTTTTCGTTCTTCTCTGCAGGTTTAGGTAGCTCCTGTACTGACGGCTTGAGACCCGCTTGGTGAACTGGAGGCTTTGCATCTCCGTCGCTAGAAGGCGATTGCTTGCCCTTTGGCTCGGGTTTCGGGAGCTTCACGACGAGATTTACGTCTTCAAACTTGGCGGAGATTGCGTCCACGTCGAGGTTCGCTTGAATCGGAAACTCCTTCCAAAAACGGATCCATTTGTTGCCTCCTGCAGGTCTCTCTCCCATCACTCTCAGCTTCCTTGTCGTGGTTACTTGCACCTTAAGCTGTTCTTTCCTAAACCCTGATTTTTTTTAATGAACCGGTACAAATAAAAAACCGTGTTAAAACCGGATGAATAAACTAAACCGGATCAAACCCAGCGCATAATCCAACGTAAACCCGGAAAGATAGACCTAGAGTTCTGAAATTGAGTACACCTGCTACCAAAATAAACCGAGTTGTACCGGACAAAAACCAAAAAGAAGGGATTTGGTTAACGAAAACCGGAATTGAAATTTTGTTGATGAACCTACCCGGAAGATAAACCGTGAGAGTTTCGAATCCGGGCTCTGATGTCCATCGCGCTATAGGGTCGAATTCGTCATAGGTGCGGTCATTCGCGACACCGACTTTCTTCTCCATCGATCTTCCAAGTACAAAACACTTTGTTTGCTTCTGTTTTTTTTTTTGGGTCTGAATTCAAGATCTTGGGTTGATGAACTTCTTCACCGAATTTCTCTTTATATACGTTGCATTAAATGGTTTTTTGAATTCAATTTGTTTTCCTTGAGATTTTGGTTATACCTTTTCTATTTTCATTGCCCATCTATAAGGTTTTGATGCTTTGGGTTTAAGGTTCTATTTTGCTCTTTTCGTGACCTTTTCTATTTTCTTTGGAATGCTTTTCTTTATTTTTTTAAAAAAAAGATTCTTTTGAGAGTCCTTGTTGGACATAACAAATGGAAGCTTCTTTGCTTTGTTGTAAGAAAGAGGTTCCGTTTGGGAAATGGTTTTCTGAGATTATTCCAAAAGCTCATACATGTATATATGTATGTGCATGCATATATACATATATACATACATATATATATATATATATAATATTAGTACTCAGTAAAGATTTGAACGGTAAGTTTTTCGTTTTGAAGAGTTATCTTTTATAAAATCATCATCTCGTTTGAAAACACATCACAGAAAAGTTATTTGAAAATTTACTTATATTGGGACGAAAAAATATGATTATTTAAATAATTATTTTGATAAATATCAGTTTATAAGACATATATATATATATATATATACTGAATTCATATTAATAGAGATAGAAACTGATATTAAATTGTTTATAATAATTAAATGTTGATGTTTTAAAAAAAAAATTGTCGAGGAATGAAATTAATAGTTATGCACTTTCTGATCGGTCCAAACGTTCGATTTAATTTTTCTAAAAAATAAATATAAAAATATTAAAAAAAATGTACATATGCAAAGGAATCGAAAGGGCCGAGTTGAACCCGAATCTTATAGTCTGGACTTTGGATTTAGTTTTATAGACTCAAAAACTCGGATCAATTCGAACTCCAAAAATCCATTTTCACGATAATTACATAAATTTATCATTTAACGGTAGAATTTATTGGATCTAACAAATCATTTTAGGAAAAACATATTTGTACCTTTATTTTGAGTTTGATTTTAATTTTTATAATTTAGTGTTTAGAAAGACAAATTAACATTCATATCCATGAATAAATGAAAACCAAAATCATTTTTAGAATTTAGTGTCTCAGTGATCCAACAAATACCAAAATAAACCGAGTTGTACCGGACAAAACCTAAAAAGAAATGATTTGGTTAACGAAAACCGAAATTGAAATTTTGTTGACGAACCAGCCTGGAAGATAAACCGTGACCTATATCACTAAGCCCTAAACCCTATAGATCTCGAGTTCGGATTCGGACCAACCCGAACAATTTTCTTTATAAATGTATTTTTTCTTAAGATTTTTTATAAAGAAATATCGAATTTTTCGGACCGATCCGAATCAATCCCAATACCCCAATCAATCTTGCCCGAGAGTCCAAAAAATTTCTAGCCTAAATATCTCGATCCGAAGTCTCTATTTTTTCGGTTGGATTGGGTCGGACTTCGTGCCTCGGACCAAAATTGACACTTCTAGTTGTCATGATAAGAAATTATCTAATTTGGATAAATGATCAGTTTGTAGAAACAAATCGTATTCATATCTTAATAGAAATTTGAAATCGATCTTAAGTTGTGTATAATAATAATTAAACGTTGATGTTTAAGAATTTTTTGTCGAGGAAGGAAATAAGTTGGATTTTTCTTGAAAAAAAAAAGAGTTGGATTTTTCTTATATGTAAAATGATCTAATCACTTAGTAATATTATTAGCATCAAAATAAATATCCGAAGATTTTTTAAAACAAAAATACTTGTCATTGTTTCCTTGACCGCCGTACATGTAACGTGATGTGCTTATTCCATATTTTATTTGGGATTTTTTTTTTAATACAATGTACATAGATAACGGTAATATCAGAAAATGACCTGTTATATTATTATAGAAAAAATTCCAAAAAAAAATACCCAATAAAATCTTTTTCTTAATTAATCAGTGTAATTGTTTTGAGTATAAAATCGAATATTGAGACAGAGATAAAATTCACAAAATTATTAAAAAAAAAATCTAAAGGGGAGGAGAAAGAAAACATGGGACGAGGGTTTTCATCCATACAAAACCTCGTGTTCGCTATTCTCGTATTGCTGTCTCTCTATGGCGACCAATGTGATGCAGTGGGGCATATACACACGGAGATGATCCATAACGTCAACCCATCATTTGTATTGACGGTCCATTGCCAGGGATCGGGTGACGATTTGGGAGAGCATGATCTGGTCATCGGCGAGCACTATGGCTTCGTGGCGCATATCAATTTCTGGGCCACGACGCAATTCGTTTGTACCTTCGTCTGGGGCGACCGGTCGGAAACGTTCTCTATACTCGCGGCCTCCAGAGATCGCACCATATGTAAAAACGGCGACATCCTCTGCCTTTGGAGGATTGACGAGAAGGGTCCATGCAGAATAGTTGGTAAGGAAATTTGTTTTCCATGGGATCCTAAGCCGTAATCACAATATATTAATTGGCTTTAAATCTTATCCCCTTTTGTTGGTTCATGGTTATATGTTTTTTATGATATTATTATTGAATAAAAGTTTATGTTTGTTTGGCATAATTACATGCTTGATCTCGATTACATTATTCGAATCGACATTCGTACGTACACGATCAATATTTTGGTTGTTGGATCGAAACTATACGAGACTTGCGACGAGTCCAAACGGCCGGACGTACGTAACAAATAGATACTGCAAACCAAAACGCAATAAATCAGCTTTTAGATTTAATTTATTATATATATGATGAGATGTAAAAAATATCTTAAAAAATATCAAGAGATATAAAAAAAAATATCTATATTATTATCATAATATCGAATTCTGAAAACAACCTCTTGCATAATATTCTGTTAGGTAAGGTTTGTCTATAATATATCGTGGGATCATTCTCGGATTCCATGATATTTTGCATATCTTATAGAAAATGTTTTTTTTAACAATTCCTTATCAGATGGTTTTGTTTAGCTGTTTTAAGATTTTTCATACATCGATGCATATACGAGCTTTCGTTAGATTCGTAGTTATCCTTAGATTATTGATATGGAATGTACAAATATTTATATTCTTTTTTCATAAAAAGGACTAATTGTATAGTAAAACTTCAAAATTACCTAAACCGGACATACTGGCAATCGAACGGTGGAAACGTGTCCACGTAGACAGATACATTCATACTAAAGAGTTTTATCAAAAAGCAAAAGATGAACAGACGAAGGGATGGACAGAGGAAGAAGATGAACGACTCAAAAATATTATTCTCCTTTGTCTGATAATCTGTACATGGAATAGGGTACAACATATAGCTATTCTTAGGCTACAAGTAAGGTAAGTACGTTGTAAGAATATTTCCTAATTACAAGAAAAGGAAGTTTGTCATTTACATAAAAGTCAATCACGCCCTGATGTGTCGAGAGGATCTCCGTCGATATCTTCAAACCCTCTTGCTGCTCCAGAAACTTTACACGGTTGGTCTTCTTCTTGGACGTTGCTTTCGGTTTGCTGATCTCGAACGTGACAGGCTATTTGAATGGTGGCTAATAATATTTCCTATTGTATTATGCAGGTAGAATTTCTTATAAAATTACACCCAAAAAAGCCATTTTCCCGATAATTACATAAATTTATCGTTTAACTGTACAAATTATTGGATCTAACAAAGCGTTTTAGGAAAAACATATTTGTACCTTTATTTTGAGTTTGTTTTTAATTAGTAGGTTTTATAGAGTTTAGAAAGACAAATTAGCATTCATGTTAATAATTTGTGAATATAGATGTTAATTTCTATATTCATCCATTCCTTTATCACATACGTTGCCAACTCAAAACACATTGAACTTTTGCTACAAAGAATTTAGAGAGAAAAAGAATAATATCATATCAGAATATAATTTAGATAATCCTAACAGGAGAGGAAAAAAATACATATCAGAAAATTTTACCAATTATTATAAAGATTTAGTCCGCTGATATCCGCCTAAAAATACCAAATAAAGACATTTAATTTATATAACAGTCGAGTATATATATAAGATGCAGAGCTAATTAATCTCACAAAGAAACCGACAGAGATTTTCCCGTGTGTAAAAATGGCGACGTCTTTGGAAGATAAACGAGGACGTACGGTCCATGCAGATATAATTAATACATTGGTGAACTTGGGATGCGTTGAACATGTTTTTGGGCCGAGAACAAAATATGCTCCCATATTTTCTCATTAATAACTTCGTGTATTACATATGTATATTGATACATACGTTACGTGCAAACGAAGTCGGAGTGATTTAGAGGAAGAAATCTGATCGGTTAGGGCTCAGGAGCATTTACGAAAGTGATGAGTTGTCAGCAAATTAGGGAGATTCTCCTCGATTGACGAGATGGGATTCAGGTAGAGTAAACGGCTATAATGAACATGGCGGTGGGCATTTCGGTATTCGGTACGCTTTAGATTCGGGTTTGGATCGTAAATAGTTCCGGTATTCTTTTTGATATTTTAAGAAGCTTCCTATCTTGATTTATTATAGGAACACATTTCAGATATGTATGTGTATATATATATATATATATAAATTGTAATTTTAAAGTAAAACTTCATCCATTCTTGGCTATAAGCGTATTTTCCCATTAATAGCTTGTTTGTATATGTAAATGGTGATTTCGATCGTCATCGATTCTTTCGCCACCGACATGGTCAATGTATTTAGATAGCCCTAATAGGATAGAAAAAGGACAATATCAGAATATAATTTAGATAACCCTAATAGGATATATATATATAAAGAATTACGTTTAGAACTTACCCATTATACTATAATTAAATAATATTAATCTAATGATATATATCCAAACAAAAATACCCCAAAAACCCTAATACTTGGGTATAAAACCCACACCTAAACCTCACAAAGAAACCTAAAAAAACGAAAGGGAAAAAAAAAGAAAGAAAAGAAAGAGGAGAAAGCTGCAACATGGGAAGAGGGTTATCATCAATACAGACACTCTTACTTCCCCTTGTCGTATTGCTCCCTCTCTTCATCGACCGATGCGGTGCTGTTGGCCACATTCACGTGGAGATGATCCACAATGTGAACGCGTCGTTCGTATTGACGGTCCGGTGCCAATCTTCGGACAAAGATCTCGGGGAGCATGATCTGGTCATCGGCGAACGTTATGGATTCGTTTCGCATATCAACTTCTGGGCCACGACGATTTACCACTGCAGCTTCGTTTGGGGAGATCGGTATCAGAGGTTCGCCATCCTTGACGCCGACAGAGACCGTCCCTACTGTAAGAATGGCGATGTGGTCTGCCTTTGGAGGATTGACGAGAACGGTCCGTGCAGAGAAGTTGAAGAAGAAAAATGTTTCCATTGGGATAAGTACGCATTGGAATAAGATTGCATGCTTCACTTCTTCCCTATATATATGTTTCATGGCATATATCAATTAGGGGTGGGCGTTCGATATTCCATTCGAGTTCTGTTCGGTTCTTTCGCTTTTAGAAAAATATGTACCAACCGGTTATTATATGATATTCGGTCTGTTTCGGTTATGGTTTTTATTAAAAATTTAGATCTTTTTAAGAAATTGTCGATTTTCAATTTTTTTTTTTAAATTCGGTTAGGTTCCAAAAAAAAATGGTTTTAAAAGATAATATCATTCAAAAATTTTGGACAGTTCGGATAAAGAAAATATCGCATTTTTGGGTTTGATATGATTTTATTCCGAAGAATCGTACCGGAACCTCCACCCCTAATACCAATAGGAAAAAAAGAAAATCTTACAAAATTCTTGTGCGACATGGCTATTCTCTAGCTTAGATACTTTGGACTGAAGCTAATAATTCGCAATAAATCTATAAATAAACTATAAATGCAAATTAACATGTGAATCCATACATTATGTGTATATCATAGAAAATGTTATCGCTGATATATATCATCGCATATAGAAATTCAACCCTTCCGCACTACATTTTAGTGAGATATTGTTTATTTCGTATATTGATCAAATATATCAAATGCGTTATGCAATCATGTTTAAAGAACTTAAAATTCACTCGAAATGGCCATTAAACAAGCATGTATAAATTACTGCTGCGTAAACTGAACCGAATAACAATCCAAATTGAAATTGAGTTAGAATTTTGAAATTCAGTGTGTAGCCCAATGTTTCGAAAGCCCATTACAGTTGGCCCAATATCATTTAATCTCAATTATGTCGTTTAATTAATAATTTCGTCAATCATGACATGACATTTTAGACTCGTTTCAATACCGAACTGAAATCCGATTATTTTAATCCAAATCTAATCACAATTTAAATTGAATTAGAACAAACGAAAACATTTATTGCGCAAGTAATTGCCCGAATCCTATACAAGATACCAAATCTTGTCACCGCTACTAACGTCCCGTCCATCGATAATAACGGCTCCTTTTTTACATTTTTACCCTAATCACCGACGTTGCCTACTCATTCATTGAACTTTGTATACATATCTTTCACCTTTTTAGATAAACCTTAACCCTCATAGGATAGAAAATTTACCTATACAGCAAAAAAAATATTTTCCAAATGAGAAAAAATTCTTAATTTGTGTATAAGTATCTAATATATATAAAAGATCGGATAACTTCGAATATCTTGTCATGATCCCACACAATTTTTGTTCTTATCTTTTTACATCCTATAAGTTTTTTTTTTCTTTCTAAATCTGTCATCTGTAATATCCATCTTTAGAGCGACTAAATGAAATTCTCCAACTCAGACAGCAATCTAGGTATTAAAATCTCATTTCGGGAATCTTCATATTTTTCTTCATGGGGTCAAATCTGTAATCTTCTCATTAGATGGATTTTGTTTAAGGCTTTTCCTACAAATAAAGAGCTTTAATGAGGCCAAAATTGTAATTTACTTATCGGATGATATTTTGTTTGCTGTTTAAGATTTTTCCGTGCTTTTAATAAAGAAATTATAATTGTAAACTGTGAATTCAAATTTACTTTAACCGGACGTATTGGAAACCGGACAGGGAATCGAACGGTAGAGATTAGTCTACGTGGACACATAATGGGCCTACAAAAATGGGACAGGCCCATTTGAAAGCTGTACTTTTTAATGGGCGCCTGGTAAAATTCTTGTTTTAGTAGTTTTACTATGCCTTTTTGTATTACGCGGATAAAAAGAAATACCTTATAACAAAACAATTATACGGTATGATAACAAAACAGACAAATGGCTTCCAAATGAAAAGAAATACCGAATAAAGACATTCTTAATTTGTGTAATATATTTTAGTATAAGTTGGAGGGTGTAACAAGAGGCGAAATTCACAAAACATGGGACGTGGGCTCTCCTCCATGCAAAACCTGTTACTCGCTCTCATTGTGCTGTTCCATCTCTTTGGTGGCCAATGCGATGCATATGGGCATATACATACAGAGATGGTGCACAATGCGAACGCATCCTTTGTAATGACGGTCCACTGCAAATCATCGGACAATGATCTCGGTGAACATGATTTGGTCATCGGCGAACGTTACGGATTCGTGGCGCATATCAACTTCTGGGCCACGACGATTTATAGTTGCACCTTCGTATGGGGAGATCGAACGGAAACGTTCGACATCCTCGACGACAGCAGAGACCGCCACGTGTGCAAAAATGGGGATGTCCTCTGTCTTTGGAAGATAAATGAGGACGGTCCATGCAGGGAGGTCGAAGGAAGAAAGTGTTTTCCGTGGGATTTGAAGCCGCCATTGGCCGGTTAGATTGGTTTCATGGCTAATGTTACGCCCTGTGTTTGTTCTATAATTAATATCCAATTTATGTTTGGATTTTATAAAAACAAATATCTGCAAAATATAAAATCACCTATCAGTGTGTGTGTGTGTGTATATATATATTCCTTTAACCTGAAACTACACACCTTCAAAGAGGAGGAAAAAAAAAAGTAAGTAACAATCAGATTAAGATAATTGCCTATCATGTGAGACAAATGACAATTATTTAGCATAAAAGAACAAGATAAACAAGTCGAACCCCAACTTGCAAAAATCAGCAGAGCGGCCCGCCATGAGCTTCTCGTGCTCTTCTCACTTTCAAATCGTCGATGTAATTCTGGTAGATGTAAGAAGCAGAGCCCCACAGAGCCATCAACATGGCGATGACTTTAACGCCGCTCATCTTGTCGTGGAAGAACACGAGAGCCGCGATCGGAGTTGTGGCCAGAGAGAGAGTGCTGATCACGTTCGAGAAGAGGGACGACACCAGAAATATCAGGCCAACCACTCCCACAGAACACACTTGCCATGTCACTGCTGTCCCGACGAGCGTGAGCACGTATGAGGCTCGACCTGTCTGGAATCCCACCATCTCGCCGTGCAATGTCTTCCACTCACCGCTTGCAAAGAGCCCGGCAACCGAAACAAGAGTGGCCACGAGGGATGTGTAGATCTGCATTTCGAGCACTACCGAGAAGGTTTCTCTCTTCAGAATCTTCTCGAAGGTGAACTGCATTAGGGAGAGCAGAAGAGAGTAGAGAGCCGATGCAGCTAGAGTACAGAGAAACCCGATAATGTACTTTGACCTCGGCACTCCTGTGGGGCTCTCCGAGTCATCGTTCAAGGCTATCAGAGAAGCGGCAAAGGAGAGGACAATGACAGAGTTAAAAATCAACGCAGTGAATTTCTGAGAGTTGATGAAGTAAGATAACACCGCGTTGAATGCCAATTGGGTGGCACATATCAATGAATACGTCGAGGCTGAGAGGTAGAGAAGACCGACTGAGTAGAGCATGTTATCACCGGCTATGATGGCACCGAGCAAAACGTAGATGATGACAATTGTCTTGACGGAGTAAGCATCAGAATCACGAGAAGAATCCTTGGCGGAAGGGATGAGAAAAAGCGGGAGGCAGAGGATAGGAAAGGCGGCTGTCTGAACGAGTGTGGCCATCCATTTGCTGTTCCCACCCTGATCGTAATAAAACCTCCCTAGAAGGACAGCGGCAGCCTGACCGCCGATGAGAAAGAAGATGTTTACGACCACAAGGAGCCACCATTGCCAGCGTTTGAGCTTGATGAGCGGAGCTGGAATGCTGCCCAGATGCTCATCCTTAGCCAAGATCGGTTCTTGGTTATCTGTAGAAATGCAGAAGGGGAGAACGTATATGATGATGGCTGAATGACATTTAACTTTTTATGGATATGCAAAATCACACAAACACAGACAACAAAAAAGCTCTGACAAGACACAATCGCAAATCATAGGATGTAGGAAGAAACAAACCTGTCATACTCGCGCCACCAGATAGAAGTCAGTCTCTCCTGCAATAATTTCAATAAAAAAAAAAAGTCAGAAACACGGTGTAGCTTGGTTTCAATCATCGCAATATCGGAGGATGATTTGTTCTGATTTCATCCAGAATAAACTGCTTTGAATCCGTTGTCTGATCATCATGCAAAAACTCAAGTGAGGTAGTTTATCTAATCCCGACAGATTTCTAGGGTTTTCGAGAAGAATCTTCTCGCGAGCCCAGTTCCAAAAAGAATCAGGAACCCCAAAATTACTCGAGCCACGACTTACAATCACCATCAGTGTTTCCATGTCTCCAAATTTGTGAAATTAGGGGGAAAAAAACACGCAAAGAAGATGTGATAGAGAGACCGCGAAGCAAAATCCAACCGACACCACAAACTCACTGATCAACCACGAATTTGAGAGAGAGAGAGAGAGAGAGAGAGAGAGAGAGAGAGAGAGAGAGAGAGGTAATACAAACAACAGAGGAGGGGCAGAGACAGCAACGTCCGGGGAATTACGGCGGCGGCGGCGGCGGCGGCAGAGTCGAGCCCGTGAGAGGGATGATCCGATAGAAATTTAGAATGAAGGAAAAAAAAATAGGGAAAAAGGGAATGAAACAAAAACTTTCTGGCTCGAAAAGGATATTTGGAAGGAGATATAAGGGTCAAAGAAGAAAAGGGCGGCTTAGATTCTTTCAACCACTTCCACTTTTCACTGAAAAACATACAAAGAAAAAAATCTTTACATCTACAAAACAATTAACGGATTCCTAAAGCTGTATGGCGAAAACATTTTTTTTAAAAATATTTATTGAAATCATCAGCTTAATAAAAAAATCTTCAACTTTATTATAAAAATCTATATTTTTTATTTTAAACAGAGAATATAACTTTTTGCTTTAAAAGTTAAAATTCGTCATTCTAATTTTGAAAAAAATTAAACATACAATTGCAAATACCACAATAAAAAAACTAAATGTTCTTACAAATTTATTATAATGTGATACTTTGAATTTATAAAAAATATTTAGTTATTAGTTGTGATACAAAATTATGTATATATTTACAATAGATTTCTATATAAATTTTAAGCATATTTTATTAACATATTCAGTTTACGAAATCATCATATTAAATATTTTCAGTTTATGATGAAAATATGGCATAATATTAAAAAAAGTTTTTTTCCTTTTAATTTTCTCACATCCAAGTTGGAAAAGTTGAAGACCGGAGCCGATTCCATATTGTCCGATCAAATTATATTTAGAATCGGATACTCTTTTTGCCCCAATCCTATTTTTTTTTTTCACGTTTCTCCAAAGATTCGTACCAATGAATGTGATTCGTTATCATCATCATCATTGTTAAAAGCATCGGAGAATATTATAAATTAATGTTTTTATAGGTCAAATCCGTTGACTTTGTTCGTAAAGAGACACCATGCATCTGTTCATATATATATATATATATATCATTAACGTGCAATTTCTCTTGATTTAATCTCTCTCGACATGCGATTCCTCGGTCAAAGATTCTTAGACCTGCTGACTTCAAGCTAGCACAACTTTCATGCCCATGCCATAATCATCCACATACACTTTAGTGAATAGTATTTATTAATCACGGTCGATTATTGCATAGCCCAGAATCATATATAAGCAAAGTAAGGCAAATCAATGGAGGGGAGGGGGGCAGAAATAGCAGAGACAATGGGCATGGCCGTCGTCACGCTGCACGCAACCCGTCGTTGTAACAACGTTGCCGGGAAAAAGCTCCAAGCAAGTAAAGTTGCAGAGCGTCTCGCCACCTTCAGGCCCCTCGCATGGATTATAAAGCCCTTCCTCCGGCGCCGGGATTTCGATATAATTGTCACAATCATCCCATGGACCTGCCTTTCCTGTTTGGAAAAAAAATAAATTCAAAATCGATTTTACCAATATAATAATAATATTCATTACATTATATCCTAGAATGATATACGTATATGTATACACATGTATATACCCGTTGAAGCCAGCAAGGTCAGGAGCAACACCACAACAGAGAAGCAGTTGTTGAAGGTCTTTGCCATTTTTCTTATCAAGCTCTTTCTTCCTCTGAACATTTTGGTTGATGGGGTTCATGGTTTTTATAGGCCAAAATATCGTTGACTTTGTTCATAAACAATGACTCGTATACCCCAATAATATGGCTGCACTATCCTCAACGTCCAATTCATTTATAGTTAATGATGGATTGTTAATTATTAGTTTAATCTCAACATGCAAATGATTCTTCATTTAATATCCAAGTCGCTCTCCTCATATCGACCTGACTTTAATTGATCAATTTCGATCGAATACTGCCTTTGTATTAAAGTATTTATTTTTAGTACTTTAATCAATCTACTCGACCAATAATTTGATCTTTGTTTAATCCACTGGATCGATCGACAACCCCATATCCCTACTTGGATTATAAAAAAAAAAAAAGAGATAACGTAGTCTTTACGTATTATCATTTTATTTTATAACGGTGGAAACCTGCCATACGGTCATTCGGGTCAGACCCCGCATCGCTCCATAGCATTCGGGCCGGACAATAGATATCGCGAACAGTAAACCCCCGATCCTACGTAACAACCGGCAAACCACGTAGAACAGGTAAATCAGTCGAAACTGACGGGTCACGAGAGTTTATATACCCGGTTTTTGAACCCACAACCTCAATGTAAGGAGGCTTGTCATTAACCATTGGGGTGGGGGACTACCCTGTTTAAAACTTTTTGATATTGGAGAATCAGACAAAAGTTTTGGTGATTTTCTGTAGTATATTCGTCAAAATGAAAACATGTTGCCTTAAATATTGGTACGTTGGAAAAAGTTGAAGATATGTTCAATCAATTTATATTTAATTAGAAACGGATATTATTTTTCCCAATCCAGTCTTGTTTTATATGTCGCTCCAAAAATTCTATAATTTTGTACAAATGAATATGTTTCGCCATTCGGAACTTGTTGTAATGGTAAAAGAGTTTTGCCCTAGCTAGTCTTGTTCATCATTGGGAGGGAAACTTGACTTTTGGTCTGTGTTTGACTTTTATTTTCCCAATGTATAGAAGAACGGACGAAATAAATATTAAACAATTGATAATAAAAGAAAAATGGAAGATGAACAAAGAAAAAGAAGCTGCGTGTTGTCTATGCATTTGGATTCAGGCATGGCAACATTCATGTCCAAATCATATATAACACCATCCTTTGTTATACGGAGTTGTTGGATGGTACATGAATCCGTATACTGAAATGTCTCGGTTATATATATATATATACACATAGGATTCGATATCCAATCTCATATTCGCGGTGGCCTTATAGGATATTCATAAACCAAACAAGCACGCATTTATTAGACAAATCCGTATCACAACACATTACATATGGTTGCAGAAAAACCCTAGCTAATAGCACAAGTAGCAGACACAGTGAGTGTGGCCGTCGTCACGCTGTTCGCAACCGCTGGTTTTGATGAAACTTGGGAACCATCCCAGGCAGAGGACATTGCACATTCCCTCGCTGCCGTCAGGTCCCTCGCATGGATACATCCCTTCCGCCTCCGACGGATAATCGCCATACGCGGTACAAGTGTCCCACGACTCTACCTTTCCTGTTTTTTTCTTCTTCTCACAGTTAATAATTAAAGAGCATTATATTGAATATATATATATATATGTGTGTGTGTGTATCACGTACCCGTTGAAGCCACCAAGAGGATGAGCAGCACAAGAGAGAACGCCTTCGCCATCTCTGACGATATCCTTTCTTTCTTTCTTTTCTTCCTCTGAAAACTTATTCATGGTTCTTATAGGCCAGATTTCGTTGACTTTGTTCATAAACAATGACTCGGAGACGCCAATAATATGGCTGTATTCTCCTCAACATCAAATTCATTTACAATTAATGATGGATCGTTAATTAGTATTAGTTTAATCTCAACATGCAAATGATTCTTCATTTAATATCCAAGTCGCTCTCATGATATCGACCTGATTTTAATTGATCAATTTCGATCGAATATTATCTTTGTATTAAAGTATTTATTTTTTTATTTTTACAAAAAATCGACAACCCCATATCCCTACTTGGACTATAAAAAAAATAGATAACGTAGTATTTAGGTATTATCATTTTATCTTGCGTAATTGATATGTCAATAATAATTGAAAAGTTATCTCCGATCATTAAATTCTTTATTTAAATCCAGAAATGGCATAAACACAACCCATAGCGCTCGAGGGTATTTTGGTCATTTCGATGCTAAGTCCGGTTTAAAACTGATTCAAAAGCCAGAAACAGAGTCTGGGCTCTGCAAGTCTTCTCTTTCCGCCATTGTTGCTTGTCTCTCGAGCTTTGTCGGCCTTGTAATCTCTCCGAATTCTTCAGAAGCATCTGAAAATAAGATCAAATTCCCTTCCCAAGACAAAAGAACCAACCCATAGTTCGATCCCAACCGTTAAACCGAACTCATAGACATATCGAGGGAATTCAGAAAGCATATGACAAAGTCGTTTTAAAACAGAGTAAAGGGTATGTCGAAATGAAACAAAATAAAAATCATACAAGAGACTTGTGTTTTTTTTTTGTTGGGTTTTTACAAAGATGAACACTTTGAGTGGTGGGTTGCTTAGATCCTGGAAGGGATGAGAGGAACGTTGTTCTGAAGATAGGCGCAGGCCGCCGCAACTCCACTGCCCAGTTTCACCGGATACCCGACATCTCTCAATATCATCTCCACCCCAGCCAAACACCCCAACAGTTGCAACTGCCATTTACAGCATCATACATTCAAATGTAATACATGCATATATATATATATATATATAATGGTGTAGTGTGTTATATTACCTCGTTGAGGTTTCCAAGATGACCGATTCTGAAGACCTTTCCGGCAACCTTGTTGAGACCGAGTCCTAAGCTGAGGTTGTACCTCTTCCACGCGCGTCTCACGATCTCGGTGCTGTCGATGTGCGGAGGGACGACCACCGCTGTCACAGTGTCACTGTACCATTCCTCCTTCTGCGTGCAGTTCTTCAGTCCCCACGCTTGGACCGCAAGCCTGAATTCGGAAATAAACCATCGTACTTCAGGGCTAAAACGTAACGTTTGTAACGAGAATGTGTCGAAATAGACGATATGAGTTTACCTTGTGGCCTTCCCGAGACGGGCGTGTCGGGCAATGACGTTGTCGAGCCCTTCTTCGAAGATAAGATCGAGGGCGGCTCTGAGACCGTACAGCAGTTGGATGGAAGGAGTGTATGGCCAGAAGGTTCCGAGCTTGTAGAACTTCAGATAGTCGCTCCAGTCGAAGAACACTCTGACCGATTTAGCGGTTTTGGAAGCCTCGAGAGCCTTGGGGCTGGCGCACACGATCCCCATACCGGTCGGGAGAGACAGAGCCTTCTGAGAGCCGGTGAGCGCCACGTCCACTCCCCACTCGTCCATGCGGAAATCCAACGCGCATATGGACGAGACACCGTCCACCAGCAGCAAAGCCGGGTGGTTGTAGTGATCTGAACGGCAATATTTCCAGATACATTTTCAGTACCCGTTTTCCGTTTTTTTTTTTGGGGATTTTGAAAGGAAAGATGGATAATGTTTTTTTTTTTTTACCGAGGAGAGCCCTGACGGCGGAGATGTCGTTGGTGACGCCGGTGGCGGTCTCGTTGTGGACAATGCAGATGGCTTTGATTGTGTGCTGTGGGTCTTGAGAAAGCTTCGAAGACAGGACTTGGAGATCAGCTCCTCGGCCCCACTCGCTCTCGACCACGTCCACGTTGAACTTGAGCCTCTGCTGCTGGTCTATCCACAGCAGACTGAACTGCCCGATCAGGAACGACACTATCCTGTCCCCAGGGGACAGCGTGTTCGTCAGCGCGCTCTCCCATGCCCCCGTCCCTGCACACCGCCAACGTCGCTAACATTTTCAAAATTCTTATGCGTTGTTTTCTCTTTTCGGTGTCGGCTTTTCGGTTTATCGCTTAGTTTTTTTTGTCATTCGCATGTTCTCTAGGGAGGGGCTTAAAGGTGTTTAACGAACTGGCTCGACCCGACTCGGCACGAGTCAACTCGTTTTGTGCCAAGCCGCTGCGGCCTGTTTTTATGAACTAAAATATCATTCTGACTCATATCCTTGCAAGCCGCTTCGCTAACCATTTTTTTTTTAAAAATTACTAAAACATAATAATTTAAAAAAAAATAAAAATTTTAAAAATATTCTGCCCACAAGTCAGTTCATGACTCCTCGAGCTGGTTCAGACGAGACCGTAGCTCATGAAATCGTTTTTAAACGAGTCAGAAAAATCTTATCCCGTCCTGTCCGAAAACGAATTAGTTTGCGACTTTTGAAACCACTCTTAAGGCTCCTCAAGCCCCTTTTGGTCACTAGAATACTTTTAGATTTGCATTAGAAACCGGAAAACATGAAAGGAGGAGAGAATACTTTAGCTGGTTTAATTGCAGCCCATGAGATAAGCAGCCAAAAATCCAAGGGAGAAAGAGAGAGGAAGATATATAGGACCTGTGGTGGGGATGATGAAGGGGGTGCCGGAAGTGGTCTTGAAGATCTTCTTCACGTCCTCCAGAAGGGTTTTGGTGAGAGCCGGGATGGCCGGAGACCGGTAGTCCTCGTTGTTCCGGTTCATTGCTCGGATAACCGGTTCCGGTATGTTAACCGGTCCCGGTACGAACAGATGGTTCCTCCCTGGTCCGTACACGTAGTCCATCTCTTCCCTTGTTCTATTTCTCCTCCTCCGCTGCTTATACCATTAAGGACACGTTTTGTTTATATATATATGTATGCTTTATTTAGCGTTTTAGATAAAATCCAGTTCACAACCCGTTGGATACTTGCATATTTAACAGTCAAAATTTCAAATAATAAAAGCAACCTCATCACAATAAAATACTCGATGTAAAAAAGGAAGATTATTTCAGGAAAAAACGCAGCATCGCAAAATACTCGTTGACGTTTCATAGATGTATATATGTTCTTTATGTATAAAGTACGGATAAATATATACATACATATATATATGCACGCATCTCTCTGTCATTTTTCAGAGAATTGCGTATGCGCATGTGCATGTTTATGCATAGATGTATATACGCGAGGAGATGAATACCTATGAATGGCGAGGAAGCTTCTGATCAGTCAGAGAAGAGAGCTCTCTTTGCCTTGAGCCTGCCTCTGCTCCCCCCCACCCTTTTCTAATATATCGACAAATATTTAATGTAAGAAATTATCATAAAATTATCTGCCACATATGGCGGAAAATTCGATTCATATAAATATTATTTTCTCACATATATAATTTCTTTTTATATATCTTTGGTAATTTATAAACAGCGAGGGAGAACCAACCAGCTTCGTCTCTGTGGGACCAGACACGTGGCGGATAAGAGCAACTTCGACGCCAAATCTTCGCTCGTACGCGAATGGCTGATGATGGATTTCTACTAAAATTTTGTAGTATTTTGCACATTCGCCCCTGTACTTTTATATATCTCTCATTTATGCCCCGATGAACTTGTTTGGATCAATTAGGCTATATATATTTTGAAACAACGTTAGAAAAATATGCACCGCAAGGCATCAAAATAAGGGGGCAATTTCGTAAAAAATCCAAAGTATTTAAGAGGAAAATTAAGAAGGAGAATAGTTGTAGAGAAAGAGGAAATGAAACGAGAGGTGGAGAAGGGAAGGGGAGAGATAAAGTGATAAAACGGGGGACGAGCCAAAGCCACAGACGCCCCTTTTGTGAACACCACCACATGACAGGACATGACTCTCCCAAACTCCCAACCTTCCTCCTCCTCCTGTTTCTGTCTTTGTTATTATCCCCTTCAATGATTTTTGTAGTTTTGCTTTGCGTCACGCTATAGAGATCAATCTGCCTGTTATCTAAAAGCCATTTAAAAAGCTTCTGAGACCCTCCAATTCATGTACTCGAAAGCACCCATTAGAATTCCATCATTCAGTTTTCTGTTTTATTGTGTTAAAAATGGCAAGACACCTGCAATTTGTACCAACCGCTAACAAGAACTGCTCATAAATTACCGTCTCATCTTGTTTTGCCATTTTCATTAACATTAATGATACGCCACAGAACGTAACTCATATGTTTGATTACGTTTAAATCGCCACCTGAAACAGCTTATGGGATCCGATCGACCAAAACCTAACATTATAGCCAATAATCATAATATTGCATGCATCACTTTGGATTATTTATAGCTTTTGACCCCCCAAATGAACCCTACCAAAAATTAAAATATCAAACCACCAAGGGAAATCGACTACAAAAGATTGAAATTAACAAAACTGATAATGTACAATGTTTTTTTTTTGCGCTATGGGAGCTCAACAGAGTAATATAGCAATGGAGGTTCTACGGCCCATATTTCTCTCTGCCACATCCAGCTGCTATTTACCTAAAATCGCCTGTGAACCCTTTGGCAAAGGACACAAGTGACAGAAGAAAAAGGAAGACAAAAAAGACATTTTCTTGAAGATGTATAGATATTATTGTCCTTATGCTGAAACTGATAACGGCAACTTCCAATATCGAGCCGCAGAGACGGGAAGCTTTGCTCTCATCTTCGAATTTATCGTCATCACGAAAAAAGAATTTCCCGGGTAATTTTAGGCCGTAGAGATCTCAAGACGCCAGAATGAACGACCTAATCGAGTTTTCGTCTGGCGTAGGGCACAAATACTAGAAGAAATGGCATGGGCTATGAGAACAGAGTAAACTTATCTTGGAGGAAAGCCAGTCTGACGCATCCGGAAGGTTCTCTCGTTGGAGTATCTTCTAGTATCTGACGGCCCCGGGCCGAGTATGCCCAGCGAGTTAGGGTCGGCTACTTGTGGTCGCTGAGACAGTGGCTTAACAGTTGACTGAACATCGGAATCCGTTCTTCTCCGTTTCCATGCTTCAAACTTGGCCGGGTCAATGCCCTTCGGGATGTGGGGCTGAGCTTGGATATTAGGTGTGTTTTTGTATCCTCGTTGCCGCTGGAAGTGCCGAGAATAAGGAGGGATGTGACCATCTCTGCTAATGTAACCAGCCGATGAACCATTGATGTGTGACGGTCCAACGCCTCCCTCCTCATCTTGTTCCTGCTTCAGTTTGGAGTAGATCTGATGGAGTCTTTCCCCGGAGAGATTTGAGAAGGTGGAAACGTAGTTCCACAGTCTCGTCGCCATTCCTGTATATAAAATTTCTGTTAGACAATACCAGGATGAGTTTCTAATAAGTTTGTTCGAGTAACAATATGAGCTGACAAAAGCAAAGGAAACATGGATAATTAATAAGCACAAAAAGGGGATGACTAGAGGCCAAGAAAAAGAAAAAATCAGAGCAGAACAACACATACTATCTCGCTTGTATAAATCCTCTTCATGCTCGAAGACAATTTCGTCTATCCTTCGTCCAATGATTTGCAAATAACTCCGGATTTTGGAAAGCACCTGTTTAGTGATCATAAAAGGAAGTGTGAAATTCAAAGCCAGACAGAGAGACAGGGTGGCTAACAAACTGAAAGATGGCAAATTTAAGAGTAAACCTTTTCCTTTGGAAGATTGGCGCTCGTGGTTTGCAGTTTTTGAAGGCGTCCCAATGTTTTAATTTCCTCGGCCATCACATCTTCACACCATTCCATCCATTTCTGTTCCTTAAACTGTTCATACACTTCTTCATCGTCAGACATCTCTCCTTCCTCCTTTGCTATAGGCTCAGCTTTTTGGGCTCTCCGAGGTCTGTCTCTGGTAGCCCTCAAACTGACATTGGTAGAACCGGCTTTCCCTCTTCTATCTCTTGCAGATAATGTAGATTGATTAACAGTATTATCTTTAGCCTTTTTAGAAGTTTTACGGATTGCTTTAGCATTCGTATTCTTCCCCCCAGCAGCAGCAAGTTCCTGCCAAAAGTAATAGTCACAGTGTCAAAATGTTCTTCGAGGAAGCTATAATCTTTATATATATGTATATATATCCAAAAGGAACCACACACTTCATACATACCATTTCCAGAAGTGCATTAGCCCTCTCCTTTAAATTTGGCGCCCGAGGTAGAAAGGTCTCATGGTGTTGAAGTTCGACTGGAGCGATCTTCTTAGTAAGTCCTAGGCTTTCATCTAACCTTATCTTTTCCCAGTTTCCGAACCCATGATAATATATTCCCAGAAGCAATCTCGCGTCATCGACTGAGAACACAATAGATCTAATTGACTCAGCAAAAGTTTTTATGAAGTATATGTTAATAAAATGTTAGTAAATGGCATAACACGTACTCTGATTCCAACCGCAACCCTTGGACCAATTCGAAGGTTTAAGGTATGACAACACCCGGAATTGCGTTATGGGATCTTCATATCGACTAATCCGCTTTGCGAGGAGCTGTAGTCCTTCCACACGTGTTAGAAGTTCACTTGCCTTCACTGCCACGCCAAAGAAATCCAACACAGGGCCCTGCT